GCTTAACGACTGAGCCACCCAGGCGCCCCTAATATTTTTTTTTAAAAACAACTGGATTATCCTTGTATGTTTGGAAATTAAATGCATTTCTAAATAACTCATAGTCTAAGAGGAAGTCAGAAATCAGAGAATACTTTGAACAGAATGAAAATGAACACACTACATTTCCAAAATTTGTATGATTCAGCTAAAGCAGTGCTTAGGTAGAAATTTGTAACTGTCAGTGGTTTATATTAGAAGAAAAATATCAAATCTCTAAGCTTACACATTAAGAAAAGAAAAAAAGATTAAAATGAAAGTAAATAGAAGGAAGTAATAAAGACAAAATAGAATCATTGAAAAAAGAAACAACAGAGAAAAATGAATGAAACCAGAAGCTGATTCTTTGAGATCAGTAAATGCAATAAATTATAACCAGACTGATGAGGACAAGAGAGAGGACACAAATTGCAAATATCAGATATGAGGCAGAGGAGATAATCACTACTAGACTGCAAAAATTGATAATAATAGAATGCTAACAACTTTATGCCAATAAATTAGATTAAATGGACAAATTTTTTGAAACTCAGGAAGAAATAGGTAAGCTGAATAATCCTGTGCCTACTTAAAGAAATTGAGAGGCACCTGACTGGCTAGTCAGTGGAGCATGTGACTCTTGATCTTGGGGTTTGTAAGTTCAAGCCCCACATTGGGTGTAGAGATTGCTTAAAATCAAAATATTTTAGGACGCCTGGGTGGCTCAGTCGGTTAAGCATCTGCCTTCGACTCAGGTCGTAATTCCAGGGTCCTGGTATCGAGTCCCACATTGGGCTCCTTGCTCAGCGGGGAGCCTGCTTCTCCCTCTGCCACTCCGCATGCTTGTGTGTGCGTGTGCTCTCTCTCTCTCTCCCCCACCTCCCCCCCATCGAATAAAATCTTTACCAAAAAAATTAAAATCTTAAAAAAAAAAATTGAATTTGTGGTTCAAAATTTTCCCTCAAAGAAAACTCCATACCTATATGTCTAATTGGTGAATTTTGCCAAACATTTAAGGAAGGAATAATACAGGGCACCTGGGTGGCTCAGTCGGTTAAGCATCTGACTCTTGATTTCGGCTCAGGTCATGGTCTCAGGGTCATGGGATCAAGCCCTGCATCAGGCTCTGTGCTAGACGTGTAGCCTGCTTAAAATTCTCCCTCTCCCGCCCACTAAAAGAAAGAGAGAGAGAGAGAAAGAATACCAATTTATGCAGCTCTTCCAGAAAATAGAATAGGAGGAAACATGTCCTGACTCATTTTATGACGCCAGTATTACTGTAATGCCAAACCCAAAGACATGATAAGAAAACTACTGACCAATTTCCTTTATGAATATAGATGTAAAAAACATTAGCAAATAAGCCCAACAGTTTGTAAGAAGGATGATATAATTAAGTGGAATATTTTCTCAGGAATGCAAAGTTGGCTCAAAATTTATAAATCAGTCATAATTCATATCAACAGACTAAAGGAAAACACCCTATCATCTCAGTCGGTGCAGAAAATTCGACATAAATTCGTGATCAAATCTCTCAGGACACTAGGAATAAAAGAGAACTTTATCAGTCCAATAAAGGGAATATGTCAGCCCCATACTTAATGATTCAGTGGACTGAATGCTTTTCCCCCTGTGCTCTCACCATTGCTATTCAACATTATACTGGAGACATAGCCAGTGCAGTAAGACAGGAAAAAGAAATAAAAGGCATCCAGATTGGGAAGGAAGAAATAATAGTGTCTTCAGGGATATTATAATTGTCTACATAAAAAATTCCAAAGACATTTTTTAAAAGCTACTAGATATATTAAACAAGCAATTTAGCAAGGCTGCAGGAAACAAGGGCAGTATTTTTTAAATTGTATTTTTATTGACATGCTAGCAGTGAACATTTGGAAATTGAAGTTTGAAAACAGAACCACTTGGGGCACCTGGGTGGCTCAGTCATTAAACGTCTGCCTTCGGCTCAGGTCATGATCCCGGGGTCCTGGGATCGAGCCCCACATCAGGCTCCCTGCTCCGCGGGAAGCCTGCTTCTCCCTCTCCCACTCCCCCTGCTTGTGTTCCCCCTCTCGCTGTGTCTCTGTCAAATAAATAAAATCTTAAAAAAAAAAACATCACAAAATGTGAACTTCTTGGCGATAAATCTAACATGTAAGATATATGTGATGAAAACTCTAATAAAACATTTGAGCAAAGAAGACCCAAGTAAATGTGAAGATACGCAGTGTCCACAGATTCGAAGGTTCAGTATCGTCAAGGTGTTAATTCTTCGCAGATTGACCCATAGATTCAACACAATCCTATCAAGCTTTATGTTAGTAATTGACAAGATGATTCTAGAATTTATGTGAAAATGTAAGACCTAGAATAACTAAAACAGGTTTGAAATAAAAGAACCAAGATAGAGGACTCACTACCTGGTATCAGGTCATATCAAGTTACTTTATTTAAGATAGTTTGGTATTGGCAGAATCGTTGGAGCAGAATAGATCAGAAATAGATCCCACAAATATGGTCATTTGATTTTTGACAAAGGTGTTGAGGTAATTTAATGGAGAAAGAAAATTCTTTCAACAAATGGTTTTAGAACAGTTGGACATCCATTGTTTTAAAAAATGAACCTTTATTCATTCCACATGTCTTAAAAAATTAACTTGAAATGGGTCAAAGACGTAAAACCAAAACTTGTAAAACATCTAGTGGAAAACAGAAAAATCTTTGTGATCTTGTTTTTGGTAAAGATTTCTTAGAACACCAGAAGCACAAGCTATATTTAAGAAAAAAGAAATTTAACTCTTTGAAAAACACTCTTAAGGAGATTAAAAGACAAGTCACAGCTGAGGAGGAAATATTTGCAAAGCACATGCCTGATGAGGGACTGGTAACCAGAGTATATAAAGAACTCTCAAGTTTAATTAAGTTTAAAACAGCAAATAACCAAATTTAAAAATGGGCAAAATATATGAACAGATACTTGACCAAAGAAGATCTATAGATGGCAAATAAGGACACAAAAGGATGGTCAACATAATAAGTTCATAAACTTTAAAAAATAATAAAAAGATTGACAATACCAAAATGTCATGGTTGTGGAGGAATTTGAAATCTTTTTTTTTTTTTTTTTTTAAAGATTTTATTTATTTATTCATCAGAGGCAGAGGGAGAAGCAGGCTCCCTGCGGAGCAGAGAGCCCGATGTGGGACTTGATCCCAGGACTCTGGGATCATGACCTGAGCTGAAGGCAGACGCTTAACCGACTGAGCCACCCAGGTGTCCCAAGGAATTTGAGCTCTTATACACTGTTGATGGAAATGTAAAAAGGAACAACCCTTTGAGAAAACATTTTGGTATTCAAAAGTTAAACACACACCTACCATATGATCTACACATTTCACTCTTAGGTATTTACCCAAAAGAAATGAAAGCATATATCCATATGAAGGTTTGTGATTTGCACCTTTATCTATAATAGAATTTGGAAACAACCCAAACATCCGTATCCAGTTGAATGGAGAAACTGGTACATCTATACAATGGAATGCTACTTAGCAATAAAATGGGATAAACTACCCATACATGCAGCAACATAGGTGAATCTCAGAAGCATATGCTAAATTAACAGAGCCAGACTCAGAAGGGCTACATACTGAATGCTAGCATTTTTATATGCTATTTTGTAAATAGTAAAACCATAGGGACAGGGATCAGATCAGTGATTGTTTGGAAAATCGGGGGGAGAAAATCCAGAACAGCGTAAGGGAACTTTTGGGATGACAAATATCTTGATTGTGGAGATGATTATACAACTATATGTTTGTCCAGATTCATTGAAATGTACATGTACGGGGTATGAATTTTACAGCATATAAAATTGAACCTCCGTGAACCCGACATTAATAAAATCACTTTTCTGGGGCACCCGGCTGGCTCAGTCAGTAGAGCCTGTGACTCTGGATCTCGGGGTCATGAGTTCCAGCCCCACGTTGGTTGTAGAGATTACTTAAAAATAAAATCTTTTCATAAATAATGACTTTTCTTCTTTTCAGGGTCTTACTTTGGAGATACACTTCCATTCCTACTTCAGTGGAAGATTTAGGAAAGAAAGAAAAAGGAAAGAGCATCTCATTGCTGTGCTTGGAGGGTTTGCAGAAGATATTCAGTGCTGTGCAACAGTTCTATCAGCCCAAGATTCACCACTTTCTCAGGGCTCTGGGTGAGCATTTCAGCTTTGATAAATTGGCTTGTCTGGGTTTCTCTTTCTTAACCAAACCTCTTGATTCTATTTACTCATCTACCAGAGGACACCTGAGAGCAGTCCTGTTGTTGCTAAGGAGTGACATCTAGTGGATTCAGAATTGGCATTTACTGGCTTTTACACGTGACCACAAATAGTGACTGGAAATTGAAAGATAGTGCTAAGAAACTGCAGAATGTTAGGAATACATTTAAATCTGCCCCCAGTCTTTTTTTGGCTTTCTAAAAATTTAGCTTAATATTAAAAGGCCAAAAAAGCATAGTGAGTCAGTCCATTTCAAAGATCACATTCTTTTCCTTTCCTAGATGTCCCAGATAATGAGGGAGAAGAGGTGGAAGGCAGTGTCAGTCACAGAGCGGCGTTCCAGATCCGGCAGTTTCAGGTAGGAAGCCTCGGCACGCTGCCCTGCTTGCCTGAGGGCCCCTAGAGGGACTGTCAGCTCGGCCAGCTGGTGGGAGCGGGGAGACGGCGAGCAAGTGGGACAGGATTTCTGGGTCATCGTCCAAGCAACAGGACGTAGCTCTACCGGGTGGAAGGTAATGCATTTAAAAGGATTCTAGGGAGGATGGGTGTTGAGCCACCCCAACCTGCAGCACTGTTGCTTCTAAGAATCACGGTTTGAGTTGATACGAAGAGATAGCCAGGAGCGCATTAAGTTATGGAGTGTGTGTCTTTGGTTCGTGTGTGTGGTATAGTTTGGCTTTGTCGGATTGCAATAAAGACTGGACAGTGAAGCCTGTTAGTTTCTAACCAGTTGTTGTCACACTGTCAGGACCTTCTGTCACAGAGGATTTCTTTAACAAATAAATTTAGAGTTCCTACTATGTGCCAGGGACTGTTCTAGGTGTTGGGGATCTAGCAGGAAACAAAGAAACAAAATCCCTACCCTTGGGGAGCTTACATTGAGTGGGGAAAGAGACTGACAGACAAAAGAGAGCGTATTTCAGGTGGTGAGAGAGGAACGGGGCAAGGGAAACAGGGAAAGTGTGTGGGCAGTGCTGGGGCTGGGGCCCCATCTACGCCTGAGGTCAGTGGAGGGGCCTTAGGAGGTGATAAGCCACCCAAAGTTGGGTGCACTGTTCACTCCTAATGTACATTTGGCAGGGGAGGAGTCCGTAGTTTTCAAGGAACACTCAGATTTGTGGCCGGGAACAGGGTAGGAAACTGCTTGTTTAATCCAGGTTTATTTTCACATTTTGTCCTCTGGAATTTTGATAGCTTTGAATCCTTTCTGTCCCCACCTTAGGAATCTCTGGCTAGATTCTCTTCTCCGTGACAGGAACGTATCTGCTAACGTTTCCGTGTGTACCTTCCTTTCCCAGAGGTCCTTGTTGAACTTACTTAGCAGCCAAGAGGAAGACTTTAACAGCAAAGAAGCCCTCCTGCTAGTCACCGTTCTCTCCAACTTGTCCAGGCTGCTGGAGCCGTCCTCCCCTCAGGTAGAAGCACCACTTCCTCAGGCCCACGGGGCAGCCCTCAGCAGGCCAGGAGTATTGCATCTTCAAAGTTCAGTTGACTCTTGAGTAACACAGGCTTGAACTGTGTGGGTCCCCTTATACATGGATTATTTGTGATCAGTACAGTACTGTAAATATATTTTCTCCTTAGGATTTTCTCAGTAACCTTTTCTTTTCTCTAGCCTACCTTATTGTAAGAATACAGTATGTAATACAGCATACAGAATAAGCGCTAATCGACTGTTGATATGATTGGTAAGGCTTCTGGTCAGCAGTAGGCTATTAGTAGTCACGGTTCTGAGGAGTCAGAAGTTCTACGTGGAGTTTTGACTGTGCAGGGGTCAGCGCCCCTAACTAGTTTTCAAGGATGAACTGTATATACCTGAATGTCCTCTTTAAATCTTATCTTTAAGTAATAGAAGGTCTGGAATATCTACCTTCCTCACATGGTGCTTCTACCATGACATAATTACATGCAGCCATGGAGGGCAAGAACATACTGCTTTTTGTTTGGCCACTGCCCTGACCCTTGTCAGCAGAAAGCACTGTAGAAAAAAGTCTTGTTTATCTTTGGTGCCTTCAACGTTCTTGGTTTGTGTTTTTACTCACTCTTGGTGTTTGCTCTTTTCTAAGATGAAAGTATATTAATTATCAGTAAGGTAGCTGACATTGAGCAGTTGACTTCCTCAGCAAGGTTAGCTGGTACAAAGTTTGGGAGAAATTCAACAAAAGGTTATTAAGTCAGAAAGCGAGACTACAGTCCCAAAGCAGAAAGAACTCTGTGAGATGGGTTGTGTGTATAAGCATGTAGGTATGCACACGTCCGGAGAAATGTGTACCACATGAGCATGCACACACACGGAAGAGAAGGGCCACATTTTGTGGGTCTGTTCCGCTCAGGAGTGATTTCCCTATAGGATGACCAAGAGTGTCCTTGATGCCTAGGGGGTGTGCTACCGCATCTGCTTCCTGATCTGTGAGCAAGACCGGCTCCTCGTATGAGCCCTTGCCTCAGGAAGAGCTAGTCCTTAGGAGACTATAGCCCAGGAGCAAGGTGGTGTCAGAGTGCTGAAAAGTGAGCCTGAGCTTCCGGTTCTTGTTCTTGGGAGCCCAGAGAAAGTCCCTCTTGCTAGCCACTCGCATCATCCTAGTGCCAAGCCGCTCCTCCCCGCTTCACTTTCTGCTTCATTGTTTCCTGCCACTGCAGCGAACAGAGCATTGGGAAGGAAACAGCCACAGGGAAGTGGGGCTGGGGGAGGTTTGAGGAAGAATAGATGGATTTGGAAAGGCTCATATATACAGGAAAATATTTTCATTCAAAATTCATTATCCACCCATCCCTGTAACTTCAGGTAATCGCTTTCAGTTTTTTTTTTTTTTAATTTAATTTTGGATGGATAATAAAGTCCTGTGATTTGAAAACCAGAAATGATAAGATTTGCAGTGAATGGTCTCCCTCCTGTCCCTGTCCTCCTCCACCTGTTCAGTTCTTTTCCCCCAAATAATAACCTTTTTTAGTTTCTGATGGATCCTTCAAGAGTTCCTTTATTCCTGCAGAAGCAAATAGGAATATAGATTCTTATTCCCAACCCTGTCCGTGTTCACACAAAAGCTTGTTTGCATCCTGCTTATTACATTTAACACCGTATTCTGGAGACCTTTTTATATCCATTCACAGAGACCTTTCAGAATTAGCCTCTGAATTTATTTTTTACCCCAACAGATCAAAATTTGAGTTTTTACTGGTCATTTTGCACTGAAGCACACTGCATTTCAGTGCCTTTGAGGCTGAAAACCTGTTCCAAAGAACTGCTGAAGCGGCGAGCTTGAGCGTGTATCTGGCAGCGCAGGACCCTGCCGTCCCAAGACCTAAAGCCACCTCTCCTTACCTGAGGAAACTCCATCTGGTTGTTTGCCTCTTTTTTGTTTTTTTTTCCCTACTCCCTTCTAACCTCCTCTGGCCTTTTGACTCCTAGAAGCTGATTTTGCTGCCTCTACGGCCCAGATCTTACTCTCCTCTCCTGCATCTCTCCATTAGATTAACCTTCTTAAAGATGTCTCCGATGCGGAGAGTGTGTGGCATGGGAAGGGAAAAGGCGCATCAGCCCTAGACCGTGGTGGGACTGGGGAGAGGAAGCTCAGGGGGGCAAGAGCCCAGACGCCAGGACCTTCTGTCCTTAATGCGGGCACAGACTGAGAACTGAGTCATATGTTACTGTATTATGAGAGAAGGATCAGTAATTCTTATAATTCTGGACTTACTTTTATGCTGTTCTTAGTAGATTACCACTTTGGATCCAGGCACATGTTTTGGCAGGTGATGAGAATTGGAAAGGTCTCTGTAGTCTGACACCTAGATCTGTCTCATGGCATGTTTCTTTAATATCTGAATGCTCTCTAGTTTGTGCAGATGTTATCCTGGACATCGAAGATTTGCAAGGAAAACAACCAGGGTAAGTTTCCTTCTTGTTTCCTTTTAGGCTTTATATAAAATCATCATTCCCGAATAGCATTTAAAAAAGGAAAGGTACTCATTATACAGTCACCAGAGCGACCAGAATGAAAAAGAGCCACGCCCATGGCTGGTAAGCGGGCAGAGTGGTCGGCCCTCCCGTCCAGCACCAGCGGAGGGCTGCGTTCAGGAGCCGCCCGGGAGGACTGTTGGGCAGTGTCTGGTTATGGCCCGGCAGTCCCACTCCAGGCCCCCACAGGCGGCCAGCAGCACTGTTTCTGTAGGCAGGAACAAACCCGTGTGTCGGTCAGCAGTGGAGGGGGTTGAAGGAGTGGCGACGCGCACACGCAGCCAAACCCTGAGCAGCAGTGAGGACGGCAAACCACCGACGCACAACGTGCAGGAATTGCACAAACATGCCTTTGAACAAAAGCTAGGCACAGAAGGAGTACTTCCCGCATGAGTCCCTTTAGGTCAAGTTCAAAATCGGACACAGCTAGATGTGATGGTAGAAGTCAGGAGAGGCAGGTTCCTTGCTGAGGCAAGTGAGGTGGGAGGGGGTTTCTGGGGTGTGGGTAGCATTCTGTTTCTTGATCTGGGTGCTAGTTCCTCAGCGATAGTGACTGGAGAATAATAGGAAACCTCTGCCTTCATTGGGCCTTCATTGGACAGGAGTGTAGCTTTGTGGGAGAGCTGCCTCGGATGGACTGTGTCCAGCCCTGGGATAGCGTACGTGGGACGTGGCAAGCTGCATTTCTGGTTAGGCCCCCTGTCCCCTGAAGAATGACTGGGTTAGAACTTACCTTTTAATTTTCTTTCCTTCCCACTCTTAGAGGATGCCTCGTTTTGCAAGGGCTTGTTGAATTTGCTCTTCAGCCTCCACGTTTTGTACAAGAGTCCTGCCATCCTGCTGCGTGACTTGTCCCAGGATATCCATGGGCATCTCGGAGACATAGACCAGGTACTGCAGCGAGCATTCGCTGTGACACCCTGAGTGGGGAGAGAGGTCGGGGGCCAGCCTTCCTCCAATTGCATCCCCTCTTTCTGCCTCCTCAGGATGTAGAGGTGGAGAAAACAGACCACTTTGCGATAGTGAATTTGAGAACAGCTGCCCCTACTGTTTGTGTAAGTGTGGACCCCCGAGCCGTGGGAAATGGCCTCGTCACTCCTTCCATTTTATTCCCTGTGAAGAGCACACTGTAGTGGCTCGTGTGCTGGGGCCTGTAGCCCACCCGCGGGTGGCCACGGTGGTTCTGTTAAGCCAGCAGCTACGCACAGGGAACCATGCCAGGCATTCTTCTCTTCCACAGTTACTTGTTCTCAGTCAGGCTGAGAAAGTCCTAGAAGAAGTGGACTGGCTGATCACCAAGCTTAAGGGACAAGTGAGCCAAGAAATTGTATCAGGTAAGATGCATTCAGGGTGGAATGGAGAGAGTCCACCAAAATCCAGATTGGACAGTTGCATAAACGTGCAGCTCGATTTGAGTCGGTTTGAGCCGGATTTCCAGTGTGATGGACAAAGTAGATGGTAGTGTGGCTTATGATGCAATGGCTGTTGATTGACTCTGCATGATGAATTACATGCTGGTTGTCCCTACAGATTTCCCGTTTAATCGCAGCTAGTGGATTTCTAAACCTCCTTCACTTTAACTAGAAAATAAGGTCAGTTGGTTTGAATATGCAATTTCATTTCCCTTCAGACGAGGCCTCTTCTCAGGCAACCCTACCAAATCATCCCATCGAGAAAGCCATCATCGTACAGCTGGGAACTCTGCTCACCTTTTTCCATGAGCTGGTGCAGACGGCCCTGCCATCGGGCAGCTGTGTGGACATCTTGTTAAAGGACCTTTGCAAAATGTACACCATTCTCACAGCACTTGTCAGATATGTGAGTATCTGAGAGATGACCCGAGTCACTTCTGCCACACTGCCCCAGCCAGCTGGAGACTCGGCCCGGGCAGCAGCTCACCGCAGTGGAGTGCCCCTGTGCAGAGCTCTTGCCTGCCCCTGTGCGTGCAGGTGGTGGTTTGATTCTGGTTTGGTCAGTAGGTGGCAGGTGTCTCCACAGGCCAGGAAAAAAGCATTTGGTGGCATAATTCTAAATCTGCTTTTAGAGGGCCCCCCCCCCTTTTTTTGGCATATGAGTATGTGGCATCTAATTGAGAGCAAATGCCTCTTCAAATGCTAAGTCTTAATCTAATCTACAGCTATGGAATTCAATACGATGCCTTATTGCACACAGAATTATACAATTTCAAACCAGTCTGGGCACCAAAGAGGTGTTTAGACCTTATTTTGTTCCTTTAACAAGTAGGCGTTAAATGCCTTACAGGTCAGGTACATGGGTGGGAGAAAGGTTCTTATTTTTAAATACAAGGCGTACTCTGCCCTGAGTTTGAGTTAATGCTCCCTAGTATCTGTGAACAAGGAACTCTTCTCTTGCACTTGGAATAGTTTTGGTCCTCAGCAGACATTCAGAAGGTGGTAGGCACTGGGTGACATAGTCCCGATTCTAGCGGTGATCCGTATTAAATACTTAGAAGGGCCTAGACAACCCAAGAAAGACGGCAGACCGCCGGGTGGCGTCCCCAAACACCAGTGCAGCCGTCTCTGAGAAGGGGCAGCTCTGGCCGCGCAGTGTGGCTCCTAAACTTGCGTACTGGAAATGCTGAAAGCCTCTTCTCTTTACTGGCATTTTTTAAAGGAAAAACAGCAAAGTCATTGGTTTTCTAGATGTAGGTGCCATCGGCCTGAAGAGCTTTTAAAGCAGTAAGCTGAACAAGTCAGACACGGAAGCCCTTTATTGTCTGTTGCCTCGGAGGCTCAGGAGCTTTGAGGAGGCGACGGAGGAAGCCTGGTGTCTAGGGTTCTCCGTGAATGTGCTGGCTTGTTTCCTTTTCCCCCTCCACGTAGCAGTGAGTCCCACCCCCTAGCTTGCTGCCTCACCTGTAGGTGTCGGGACGTTGATGGAGGATGTGGGCTAAATCTGGGAATCTTTGGTTAGTATCTCCAGGTGTGTCAGAGCTCCGGAGGAATTCCCAAAAATATGGAGAAGTTGGTGAGTTGAAAATTCCTTTCCTAGGAATGGGGGAAGCCTTCTATTCCTCAAGTTACATTGGTTTCCTTCTCTTTTGCTGCAGGTGAAACTGTCCGGTTCTCATCTGACCCCCCTATGCTATTCTTTCATTTCTTACATACAGGTAAGTGATTCAGAGTCAATACCAAAACAGATCTTCCAGGAAGAAAGGACTCCTTATGTCCCCAGGGGACTGCTTGATCCCGTGAGCCCAGTGTCCATGCAGTTTCTTCCCTACTTACCATAAGCCAAAGGTGCATTTGGATGCAATGCTTGCATTTGGAGCAGGGAAGGAACACACGTGCTGGGGCCGCGACTTGGTTCATTTCTGGGTGATTCTAAATCCGTGCCATGGGCCATCCTTTGGCGTGTGAGGAAAGTAGCAGTGAGCACATAAAGGGCTGAGGTCAGATGGTGCTGTGTATGTGGGAGCACCAGCCCTTTCAAGGAGCAGAGGGCAGCTGGGCTGTTCTTGTCAGGTGCCCAGACCCCTTTTCTTCTCTTCCTAAGTTAATTAAGTAATGGGCTCTTTCAGGATTAGGAGAAATTTTAAATGTCATTGAGTCACAAACACCACCAGGTTCTTGTCATACCTGACAACTGTTACTGTTGACTTAAACCAGGGATTTTAGGCCTCTGCATTATTGACATCTCTTGAGCCAGATAATTCCTTGATGTGGGGTCTCTTCCGTGCATTCTGGGTTATTTAGCAGCATCCCTGGCCTCTACCTACCCGATGCCAGGAGCAGCCCTCCAGTTGTGACAACGGAAAATGTCTCTACAAATTGCCAAATGTCTCAAAAGGGCAAAATCATCCCCAGTTGAGAACCTCTGGCTTAAACACATGAAGACCCATGGTCTCCCAAGACCGCTTAGTCTAGTCACAAGTCAGATGAGAAGAGTATTGCAGGGCGGTTACTAATCTTCAGAGAACCAAGCAGATGTGCACTAATGGGTCAACCCCAGCCAAAACCCCAACTCCAGAACCAGTTGTTACAGCAGTGGATTGGAAACACTTTTGTAGCGATGCCCCATTTGCTTTCTGCCTCTGTGTTGTGCACGGGCACATCTTCCTGTCGGTAACCCCTTCATTCTGTGCTTCCTCCCCTCCCCGGTGAATCCGTGACCGAGTGGCCGGTCATCTGGGTTTGGCCAGAGGAGTTCTGAGTCGTGTGCTGATAGTTGAGGTTGTGTCACCTTGCCTTTTTTGTACCAGCTTTGTGATCTGGGTCAGGCCTCCTGTCTGGCCACAGGGTATGGCCTACTGTCCCCAAGCTGTTGCTTCTGGCCCTCTCCTTTAACCCCACCTGCGTGCTTGCTCAGCATGTTCACAAAGGTGCCATCCTGTCAGACACATCTCTTGTCTGAATAGAGGATGTATCCCTCCATTCCTCCGGTCAGGTTTGGAGTTCCCCATCTCCAGTGGGGCCCCATTTCACAGAGTACCCTGTATAGACCGAGACGGTCCTCATAAAAAAGGATTCTCTGAGAAGTGCTTGTACATATTTCTCATCTTAGAGACTTATGGTACCCGTGAGCATAGTAAAGTTGCCGAGAGGTCCAACAATAATTAAATATGTTCGTAGTAGTTTTCAAATCTGTGCAAGAACTTTTCTTTTTTAATAACAAGTGCTGTTTGGCAGAATAGCGGTCCAAAGAGTACAGCTTGGGAACCATCTTCATCTCACCAGAGCAGCGAACATGCAGAGAACCCTCACCTGGCTCTCCACGACGCTGGCCTGGTGTCATGTCAGGCTCTTCTCACTCAGCCCCTCATTCCTCCTCACCACCCCTCATGATCGGTAGTTGCCCCACGGAAGCGATGGGAAAGGAGGAGGCGAATGCAAAGAACAGAGCGCTAGCTCAGAGGCAAAGACTTGAACCTGGGTAGTTTGACCCAACAGCAGGGGTCAGCAAACTTTTCCTCTAGAAGGCCAGAGAGTAAACGTTGCAGGCCGTGGGCAGTTGCACTGTCCACCTCTCCCATCGCACAGAGCCCGTGTGCGACTGCGTGCGACCGCTCTAACGAGACTGCTTGGGGGGAGCAGCAGTGGCTGTGGTTTGCCAGCCCCCGCTCTAGAATCACAGCTGCTGTTAGGCTATTGGAGGGGTTTGAGTTTGTGTTTCTGACCCCATTCTCAAGCATTGTCTTCTGTGAGTCACCAGGCATCTCCCAGACTCTTCCACCCCCCGCCCACATTCACAGAAACCAATTTGTGTATTCTCAGGCCGCTCTCCCCCTTCCACATCTACATTTGACTTAAAACTGTACTGACAAGTCAGCTGATCCACAGGCAGACATTTTTCTCTGACCGTGAGATGTGCTTCGTGAGCAACCCTGGGCAAAAACCTATGGTTCCGTTAATTCCAATTCTTATCTAGAAACCAGGATTGCATTTCCCACATCTTTTAGGGAGCTGTTGATTCTCTTACAGCCCCTTCATTTTTTCCCCCACAGCCTTGGCTCTCAGTGGGAAGCAAGCAATGAAAACCAATACTCCCAAAACCCTTAGCATCGTGCTCAGAGCTGTGCACCCCTAAAAGATGCCTCTTGGGATGCTTGGGTGGCTCAGTCAGTTAAGCATCTGCCTTCGGCTCAGGTCATGATCCCAGAGTCCTGGGATCGAGCCCTTCATTGGGCTCCCTGCTCCGTGGGAAGCCTGCTTCTCCTTCTCTCTCTGCCTTTTCCCTCTGCTTGTGCTCTCTTTCCCTCTCTCTCAAATAAATAAAATCTTTTAAAAAAAAATAAAAGATGCCTCTTCTGGCTAGGATTTTAGTCATCCTGAATCAGCAGGAATGGGCAATGGACAGGGATTGATTTAAGGAGTTTCAACAGGGTCCCATCTTGGGTCTCACCTCTGGAGACACCTCGCTTCCCGCTTGGTCACATTGAGTTCTGTCTACAGCTGCCTCCCTGCCCATCTCTTAAAAGGGCCTCACCCTCTACCCTGTGTTCCAGGGCTAAAGGTAGACTTCTTCACACCAGCCCCTCTGGAATCCCTGCCATTTCTCAGGTTCTAGAATGTGCCACGTGGATTAAGCCTCCTGCCTCTCATATGGTTCCAGTGGTATGACTCTCCCCATTTTCAGGTCTCTGTTTTTCATTCTTACTTGTGCCATGGGGCAGGGGTGTTCATTCTTAGCAGACACAGACGCCCCTTCAGGTAAAAGTGCCTGTTTTGTGTAGCTCACATGTGGTGCAGGTCTTGACTCTCTCCTGTTTTATCCTTGGTTCCCTTATTCTTTCTCCAGGAGCTCTTTATTCTGCGACATTTAAAACATAAGGAAGTGTTCCTATGCCCTTTAAACCCTTCTCAAGCACGTAACCGCAGGGCACACAAGACATGGCTGAGGTCTGCCCCTAAGTGGCAAGACGGGAGGCCCTGGGAGCAGCCTCTCCAGCTTCCTCTCCTTCACGGAAACCCTTTGAGCCAACTGCGCAGTTGGGAAATCCCTGTTCCTCCCGCCATCCTGACAGCCCCCATTGTCATCATCCTCTGGCCTGGTGTAAGAACAGTCGGTCCTGCCCTCACTTCCTTGGGCTTAGTTGTAAGAGCAAAATTGTAAGCCTCCCAACAACAAAACCTCCAAAATATCTGAGGATCATAAAGTGTCACAAAATGTTCCCCATCTTCCAGCATCTGCCACTGGTTCTCTCTCTGCCCAGACTTGGTCCCCTCACCAGCCCCCCATATTCTGCTGTAATTACCTTCTTAGAAAATTCCCACCAGCGTCTTCAGACATGAGAGAACTTGTTTCTGTGTCTTTAGAACAAGAAGAGTCAGAGCCTGAAATGTGCAGGAGAGAAGAAGGGGAAAGCCGGGGCTGTTGCCACAGCCATGGTAAGCAGCCGCCGACCGGGAAACACAGCCGTGCTGGGGAACCGTGACAACAGGCGGTGACAGAAGCCAGTCACCAGGAGCCCACGCGAGGAGGGATTCCATGTATAGGACAGGTCCAGGACAGGCAGATCTAGACAGACAGAATGTAGATGAGTGGTTGTCCAGAGCTGGGGGTCCCTCCTGAAACGGGTACGCGATTCCTGCAGGGGATGAAAATGCCCTGAACTTGCTCGTGGAGGTGGTTGCACAACTCTCGATGTACTGAGCACTGGACTGTGCAGTGTAGATGGGTCACCTCTGGGCTATGTGCATTGTAGCTCATTAACGCTCTGAGAAAAACGTACGCGCGCGCGTGTGTGTGTGTGTGTGTGTGTGTGTGTGTGGTGGTTTCTCAGCTCACAGATTGTTCAGAGGGCCACACACTTTATTTAGGAAGCACCTGAAAATCTTAAGCTCTGTCTTTAAAAAATGGCAATGGCTAAGGATTCTCATTGGGAAGGAGTTGTTTTAGGAAGAGTTAATGAGCCCAGAAGATGCTCCCTAAAGGACACACAAGGGGCGGGTGCAGGGACGAGAGCGCTCTAGGGCGCTGCTGGCAAGGGTGCCCGTCCGCGGCATCAGGGGGCAGTTGGGCCGTAACTGCTGAATTTCAGTTCCGCACTAGTGCGCTCTCCAGCAGTTGTGTTTGCCCGGAGTGGAGACTAAAGGCCCACGTACAGGACAGTCCTAAGCAATGTTGTTTGTAAAAGCGAAGTATTGGAAAAACCAAGATGCCCATCAAGTGGACTGGCTAAATGGGTTTTATAGTGCATTATATCGTAGGACACAGGCATGAGAAAAATACAAAGGTAAATGTTCAGATATAGAATTATCTCCAAGGTAATGTTCCCATCACATCCTCATTTGTGGACTTTATTAAAAAAAACAAAACAAAAGACATCGATTGTATATAGTTTGTTTGGGAGGACTTACGAGTTAGAGTCCGACTGGGAGAAAGAATCCCAACAGTGAGAAGGTCACATAGGCCAGAAGGGGGAGACAGAGCTGGTGCAGAGTGAGCTTCCAGTGTTCGAGTATCAGTCAGGTTAGGGCGGCAACTGGATTTCTACAAGTAGCCCTTCTTTTAGCCAGTCTGCAGAACGGTGAATACGGAGGAATTCTCAACAGGAGGATTCGGTGCTGTCTTTACCATCCTTTGATGAGATTTAACTGCCAGAAATCTTAGATTACCAGAACATAAGGAATCCTGCATTTGACTGGCAGACAGACTAGCTTTTTCCTGCCAAGCCCAGAGCAGTTCTGCTACTGACTGCTTTGGAGGACAACTTCAAAAACCTCCGAACTTGGAGTTGAGGTCTTCTCTCCTTTGCCCTGTAGGCCAGAGTTCTTCGAGAAACCAAGCCAATCCCTAATCTCATCTTCGCCATTGAACAGTATGAAAAATTCCTCATCCACCTTTCAAAGAAGTCCAAGGTAAACACATGCTGTTCTTTTCTACCAATTTTTTACCTGGGAGGGGCCATGGCACACTGAAGCCGCACAGGGCCGTGGGGAAGAAACTAGAACCCTTTCCGCTCTTTGTGATCTGATGGCCTGAGTTCAGACATCACGTAGGAACTATGGAAAAACAGGTCAAGTGGGTGTGCGTGCTTTAAAGAACTGAAGGGTCTGTCAAAAGCAGTTGAGGCTGTCCCTGATGGGACCTCTTCTAGCCAGAGAACGTGCCCACGCCTACAATTCTGTCGTAGGTGAACCTGATGCAGCACATGAAGCTCAGCACCTCACGAGATTTCAAGATCAAAGGAAACATCCTGGACATGGTTCTTCGAGAGGATGAGGAGGACGAACACGAAGAGGTCAGTGCCTGCTTCCGACCGGAGCGCAGGAAGCCGGCTGCCCTTCTGACTGGTTGGGGGCAGCCTCGCCAGGAGCAGCACCGAGGAGTGCGGGGAGCCCCCCCCCCAGAAAAGCTAAGGAGGTCAGGCCGGGAGTCAGGCACGGCTGAGACTAAGGCCTCTAGATTTTGGACCACACGATTACCCACATGGCTGCCATGTGGGGTAGACCTTTCCGGAAAGGGGGTGAGGACACAAGTTCTTAGTTTGGGTTTCCCCGTGCCCTTTTGAACCATGAGAAAATGACTAGCTGGTGAAAGCTCTCTCCGTGCGGCCACCTGGCTCGCGTGTGGCTTCCTCCACTGTCCGCCCCCCTCCCCGGCCTCCTGTGCCCTGTAGTTGGGTGGTCGCAGAGCACACCCCAGGGAGCTCCCAGACGCTTCAGCAGCTCAGCTGTATCCAAGATGGAAGTTTACTAAGACATCCTTATTTCTGGCTTCTCAAAAGTGTGAAGCTCCCATTCTAGGCCGTCCTGTGCCCGGTCCCGTCACCGAGCTGGCAGGGGGCTCACGGAGGGCACGGAGGCGCCTGTCCTCTAACCCCGCCTCTGCCCCAAGGAAGGGCCTCCGCACTGGATGCTCGGCCCCTTGGGAGGCCTCCCTTTTCTTCCACAGACAGAACCACCTCCTAGGAGTGGGAAGGAGGAGAAAGCAGGACTACCACAGGCTTTGATGAGAAGATAAAGGATTTTTGTTTTTATTTCCACTGCCTCTGAGCAGGCTTATCACATTGGAGCATTACTTCTCTCCCCCGCTAGGGCACTGCATCAGAGCACGAGGGACAGAACAAAGAACCAGCCAAGAAGAAAAGGAAAAAAGAAATGAAATGCCTGAGTTAATGTGAACTTTGGGGCTTCTGCTTTCTTTTGACCCGACAAGCAACACTGCCCCCTTGTCCTAGCGCCTGCACCGCTGTTGGCAGCTTGGCTCTGAACCCGCTGAACTCCACTGCACCTTCCCTCGGAGGCCGTCGTTCTTGGCAGGTCCTGCTACTGAAGAGGGCTGGCCTCCCGCAAGCCCTTTTGCAAAAAGCACAGCTGCGAGCCTGAGTGTGGGAGCCTGCGCTGCCCCGACCGAGCTCCACGGGAGCAAATCTGGGGCCTGCAGGCAGAGCTACGGTCCAGGCTGGCTTCACGGTTCCAAGGAGCCTTTGGTGAGTTCAATTATCTGGTAAATATCCAGCGCTTCACCTGAAAGAGCGTGCAGAGTGGTTAGCGGTGCCCAGGAGCCAGCAAGGAGCAGGGAGGAAGGCAGGGCAAGTGCCAGGGATGGGGAGGTGCTGTTTGGGAGGGTCTGCTGTCTTTCTGTATAAAGTAAGTTTGTCTCAGCTTTTTTCTTTTTAAATGTATCTTTCTGTTTTACTTGTTTGGTATTCAAAGCACAGTTGTTTGTACCTAAGAATGCACTTTGACCTTATACAAGAATTCTTCTTAAAATAAATACTCCCTCTTCAACCACACCAGAAATAGGAGTTCTGGTGTCTTCCTTCCTGTACTGTGAACATCTCGTTCACTGTGGGCCCGGGGCACATTAGCCACCGGAACCAGCCCACAGCGGCTGTCGCAAGCCTCTTGTGGTCCGAGACTACTTTTGAGTCCACCTTACAATCTACACGTAATGAACTCACCCTGGGGAATCCCGTATCTCCTTTCCATCCCAGTTGGGTTGGAAGGGGTTTTACAATCCATGGTCACTTCCTTCCTGAGGCACTGGTCAATATCGACTGTGCTGAAAAAGGCGACTGACTGGGGCAGGTCATTCAGACCCAGCTTGTAGGCAAACATGCACCTGCAAGAGAGACCCGATCTCCTCTCAGGCCCGGCCCCTCCCCCCGACAGACCGCCATGCAGTGAGGGGTTCGAAACACACCTTTCCCCCACAAAGTTCAGCCTGCTTTATTGGTGTAAAAAAAAAAAAAAAAAGCCCTTCCTGAGCCACTCAATATTCAAATACACGAGGCCTCTGTCAGCTCAGTCAGGCATGACCCCCTGGGGAAGTTAGAGAGGGCTGTGGAGACAGTGTGAAGTACCGGGTACGTGACCTACCCCTTAGGACAGAGCTGCTTCCCAGCTAGTTCCGAATGGCAGACGGACATGGAACTATAATTACTGAATTCAGCCATGTAAACTAGGAATCTTACAAGAAAATATAGCTCAACATAGAAAATATTTTTTAAGCCATGTCTGAGTTTCAGCCTACCGCCGGAAAACATTGTGAACGAGGAATTACAAACTTTTGGCGCTGAAGGAAAAACATCTTAATTTCGCAGGAACTGAGAAAAGCTTTCTGTCATTTGATTTTCAAAACAAAGGTGTGTGTCTAGAGGAGCCCACGATGGCAGCTGCTCTTGGAACACCTCCCTGACCTCACTACCTCCATGATCTAGTCTGGCTTTACAGTCTTTTCAAACCCAAAAAAATCTCATTTAAAAGTTGAGGCCAATCTTTTTAGGACAGTTTTTTGTTCCAACTACAGATAAAAACGGAAACCTTCATCGCTAGGGAGAGGCCAGTGCACAGAGCATGCTCGGCCCAGGAAAGCCCGCAGCGGGGCGGCCCCAGGCCCCACGTACCTGGTCAGGAGGTTGGTGATCTGCAGGGCCAGGGCTGCGCGGTAGCGGTCGTCCTCCCGCACCAGGTAGCGGACCTCATCGTGGATGCTGATGCAGAAGCGCCCGTCAATGGCAAATTCCTCAAAAAGCCACTTCATGGCCACGAGCATGAGGTGTAAATAGTCCACGGCAGAACTCTGCACCACCCAGTTCACCCGGCTGGTCATGAACTGGGGGAACAGGGGCCGCAGGTCAGAAGGGTTCTGCCACAGCCCGGCTCACCGTGGTGGGGAGGTGGCACGGGAGCCTCACCCCTCCCTGTGACCCCTCTCCCCGGGCTCCAAGGACAGCGAGCTACCTCCCCCCGGACAGCCGAGGGCTCCAGGGCCCGGCTGATGCGGCAGCCCAGCACTGGGGTACGCGGGGTGTCAGACATGGCAATGCTCTCCAGCTTATTGAACATTTCGGACTCTGTGCCCCCCATCCACGCTCGTTCGGCAACCACCTCCCACTTCTTCCAGCGTGACCTGGGCACCAAGACAGAAAAGGGGCGGGGGGCAAGCTTTGCCTTTCAGCGTCTCAGAGCTACAAACGGCATCCCAGCTCTCCCGGGGCCAGCCCGGACCCTCCCTCCATCCGTAATACACAGGTTCTTACTTCCTCGAAGCTTCTCTCTGGATCTTGCGCAGATCCTGCAGGGAAACCCAGCCATCTTTAGTCCTGTCCACGAGGAGGTCCAACTCCCTCACGAGCCACTCGCCCTCATCCGACAGCCGATACCTGGGGGCAGTGTCGCCACCATCATTCCCGTGGGAGTGCCTGTGTGCCTAGCGCCGGGCTCCAGCGTCCCCGGGTACCGGGGCTCATGCCTACCCGCACGGGCTCTACCTCAGAGGGGGAGACAGGCTGAGAGGGGGTAAGTGACGTGCCAGGAAGAGGTGAAGCCAGACGGGAACCCAGGCTTCTGTGGGCTGCGCCGTGATAGCCCAGTGAGGGACCGAGTCCAACACAGAAGCCAGCACTGTTAACCAGTGTCCTCGTGCCACAGACCCGGAACTGCCCGGTGACCCCCCGGCGCCATGTCTTACTTCAGGAGGCACAAGGGCTCCGACCCCAGAAGGGAGGGACAGGAGGCAATGGGATACTCCGTGAAAGGAAAAGGTCACTTGGAGAAGACGACGTAGAGCCAGGCCAGGCTGACCACCTCAGGTCCCCCCGCCCTCCAACACCAGGCCAGAGCTGCCCCGGGGCTTCCCCTCCCCCCGTGCCCTCGGTCCAGACCCCCATGGGACGCCTTCAAAGGTCTCAGCTAAGGCCCGAACTCCTGTGTCATCACCGCTCTGCTCCCCGCCCACCCCAGCACATAGCTGCACCCCTGCACCATCACTTGCTTACCCTTCAGCCTCCCCCCAGGGGGCCTGCTAGCTACATGTGGCCCCGGTAGAGTGCACCTATGGGAGGTGGAAACGCCCCTCTCCTCCCTCACCCTTGCTCCAGGAGCCCTCCCAGGAGCCCGCCAAGACCCTGAGCGCACACGAGGTGGGACCGCCGCCGGAAACAAGCTGCAGCCGCCAGGGCTCCACAGCCTGCCGCTCCCGCCCGCTTCCCGCACTCGCTCCCGGGAGGCGTGGGAGCTCGCACCCCGCACCGCTGTTTGTTCTGTACCGCAGCTGCGAACGTGCTACCGCTTGGTAGCAACACAAAAATCCAGCCTTAACTCTGACGAAAACCGTTCGAGGTTATTCAATACGCAAACGTCACAACCCCAGAGCCAACCATCCTGCAGCCAGGCCAGAGGCCGGGAGAAGGGCCGAGAGAGGGCTCAGGTAACGGGGAAAGGGAAACGGGATGAGGGCGGGAAAGGGGAGCAGAGCAGGCCTAAGGCCCTGGGGGTGAGTGGACGCGGGAGGGCCCCTCACCGGCGGAGGCCCTTGGTGACGGCGTACATCTGCTGGGCCTTCTCGGCTGCCTCCTGCCGGCTGAGCCGGTGGTTGAACTGCATTAGCAGGCGCTCAGCGAAGGGCTGCCCCGCCCCGTAGATGCGGCCGTAGTTGAAGATCTTGGCGTGCTCCCGGCTGATGCCCACGGTCGCGGCGGTCTTACTGTGTAGGTCGGTGCCCCTGCTCTTCCTGCCCTGCAGTGTCATCCAGCCAAAGGCCGTGCAGCCTGGGGGGGGCGGGCGGGGTTGCGGAAGGAGGCAGGTGTGAGAAAGGCGGCTCGGAAACGTCCTGCCGGCAACGCGGCCGCCTCAGCTCTGGCCCGGCCTGGCTCCCGCTCACCGTGCATGCCAGCGAAGTGGGCGTCTCCGAGCACAGCGGCAATCCACAGCTCCTGCGAGTCCACGTCGGCGCCCACGAGCACGTAGCCAGGCGGGGCCTGCACCATGGCCTTCAACTCACTGCCCACTCGGTCAGGCTGCAGAAGACGGAGGTCAGGCCCTACCCAGACACCCCAGTGAGACTCCTCCCACCCCAGTCATGCAGCCAGGCTTGGCTGAGGACACTGGGCCTTTTTCCTGAGGGGCTGCTTTCAGGAAATGCCAAGAGCTGCCCCAAACTCCACTCCCACGTGTGGCCAGGACGGCCGCCTAGCAGTGGGGGGTGACAGGTCAGGAACCCCTCCCTCCACGCCCGGCCTGACCCCCGGGGCCCCACCTCCACTCCACCACAACTGCACGCATCACGCCTCGTCAGCGTCTGGCTACGAGGAGGGGCTCGGGTCAAGTTTGCGGAAGGAACCGAAGAGCTGCGGAGCTAGATCCGAACCAGAGTCCTGCCCGCCCCAGACCTTACGCTCCTTTTCACGCTCCTCACTGAGCGCCTTCTGCGCCCCGGTTTCTGAGAGACGCAGGAGAGGAAGGGCAGGGACCCGCGGTGCAGAGGGCACGTACCCGGGCGTTGCTGGCGGTCAGCCACGTGGGCTCCACGGCCCGGCGGGTGATGGTGCCGGCGGTCACCACCTGAGGCAAGATGGCCCCGTAGCGGCCTTCGTCGTCGTAGTTGGGGTGCCTGGCAGGGTGGGGGAGAGCAGGAGTCTCGGCAGCTTGCCGTGCTCCTAAGGTCCTCCGCCCCCCCCAGTTCTCCTGTCCCCACAACCACTTGGCAGGCCGTACCTGGTCACAGCACGGGGCAGAGCCGACCTGGGCAGCCACACCACCATCTGGGAGCTGTGTGGACGGAGGGGCTGAGGCTTAGGACAGCCCCAAGAAGCAGAATCCACCCCCACGCCCAGCTTTGGGGGCTACTGTGCCCCGTCCCGGCCCCGCCTCACCCTCTGCCCACTGACTTCATTCAGGGTGGGCCGTAACATGGCCAAGGCCTGGGGCCCTAGCATCTACCAGCCAGGAGCATACGAACGCCATCGGAGAACCGGCCAGGCCTCCCACATAGCTTCTGCCCTAACCCAGGGTGTCTGGGAGGAGTCCGGCCTCAGCCACGAGCGCCTCGGCCACGCTTGGGGCGGACCTCAGCAGCCAGGGCAGCGGGGCAGCCCTCCGCCATCGTCAGCCTCGGGTCCCGGGCCAGCTGCCCTCCACGCTCCTCGGCCACATCCAAGGCTCCAGCAGCTCCGCCCTCCAGGCCCTACCACGCCCCTTTCTACAGAACCCTGGAAGCTGAGGCTAGGAAGAAAAGGGACTTGCCCGCAGTCATACGGCTCGAGAACCATGAGCAGCCGAGCCCGAGACTGCAGCTGGGCTGTCCCTCCAGGGCAGCATGGGGCGGGGTGTTGGGGCCCCTGGGTGGGAAGTGGGAGAAGGGGGTCTCAGGGCTGCCGTAACCTGGCCAGGGCACAGACGACATGTCCGCGCCCTCCCACGGTGGCCCACCTGATTCGCTTATGGGCATTCCTCCAGAAAGAAATCATCTTGTTGATTTCCAAGGCACGGGGCCCACTGGCGCCTCCCGGGCCGGCCTGCAGGGTGCCATCCTCCATCTTGGGCAAGAAATCCTTGGCGAAGGGGCTGCCCACATTGTAGTTGCCACCATCCTGAAAGGGCAAAGGAAGCAGGGGCTGGAAGCTGGCGGCAGACCCCTGACGAGGGAACCCATCGAGCCCTGTGCACCTCAGCTCTGCCCACCACTGAGCCCAGAAGCTCGAGCAGAGCAGTCTGGGGCAGACGCAGCACGCATGCGCAGACAGGCGCGCAAACACGCCCGGCCCCCTCCGCAAGGCAGCCGTCCCTCCTGGTCTGTGGGGTGCGTTCCAAGATCCCCAGCAGATGCCTCAGACCAGAGCGCTGACCCACACGTGCTCGGTTTTCCTACGCGAATGTGTTTATGATAAAACAAATTACACACAGCGGGTGGTGGGAAATACCTAACGAAACTGAAGTGTAACAATAAACTGCAATAAAAGTTCCGCGAAAGTGACTTCTGTCTCTCAAAACATCTCATGTACAGTCTCCGCCCTTCCTGTGCTGACGTGATGCTAAGATGCCTCGGTGAGGGGATGAAGCGAGGTGGGCGACAAGCACGGTGCCAAAGCCCCAGGCAACTGGTGGCCTCCCGAGGACACGTCAGCAGGAAGATCATCGGCTCCTGAACTGAGGTGGACCCAGGTAACCGACTGCCATCGGTCAGAACCCATCACGTAACACACGTGGTGACAGACACCGAACAGGCCCCGTCATTTAATCGCACCACCACGCCCCTCGCCACCAAACTTTCAGGGGGCAAAGACTCGGAGATGGGGAACTGTCTGGAACCACGCCCTGCCCCACCACGGCATGTCGTTCCTGCGCAAGGGCGCTTCTGGGCTGAGTCACTCCGGGGACCCGGCCACCGTGAGGGCAGCGCGGGACAGGCGTGAACCAGGACACACACCTTGTGAGGCAGCTTGAAGAACCAGCAGCCGGGGACATCCACGTCGTTGTAAGGTCCGTTGCCATGGTGATAGGCTGGCTGGCTGGCTTTGGGGTCACCAGCGGCAGTCTGTGGGGGCCACACACCTAGATGAGGCCCTGCTCCAGCACCTGCATTCGGCGAGGGCCACGGGGTAGGGCATGGGAAAAGGGCCTGAGGCAGCCAACGGTGAGCTGAGAAATGGCACCCTCCTTGGCCTCCAACAAACGCGGGGCCACCCAAGGGCAAGGCAGCGTCTCCCCACCCCCCGTCCCTGGGACCCTGGGAACTGTCTGGCGGGGGGAGAGCTACTTGGGCACAACAGCAGAGCCCTGCCACCCAGCGCCCGCCGAGCACCCGCCCAGCCACCCGAGAGCAGAAGCCCCGCTCACCAGAGCCGGGGGCTGGCCGGGGACTGCCGTTCCGCAGCGCTCTGCCCTGGCCTCCGCCTCCGCCTCGGCCTCCAGGCAGCCCAGTTCTTCCACCTGGATGGGCGCACGTGCCCAGGAAGTGAAGCAGGGGGGCCAGCCCGGGGCGAGCCACCCAGTGCCCCCTGCCGCCCCCTCCCCACCCCCGGCCCGGGGTGCCGCCCCCACCCCAGAGGCCGCCCGTCCTTGGGAGGGAGCATGACTCCAGAGCCCAGGTTCGGGGCCGCCCTCACCGTTTGCCACATGGCGCCGCCGTCGGTGAGCAGGAACTCCTCCGCCAGGCCTGCGGGCTGCTCCGGCTGCTGCTTCCCCTGTTCAAGACAATGCCTCCTGTGCAGGGACTCGATGGCTCTGGGCAGAGAACAGCAGGAGCAGCCTGGTCACCGGGGGCCCGCTCCGCGCCAGGCGGCCCGCCGGGCCTCCCGCAAGTCCCTTTGCTTAGGCCTCAGCACCCGCTCGGAGGCAAAGGCCACAGCGCTCCCCCGGGTTTTCAGACAGGGAGTGACAAATGGCAAGCAGAGCACAACACGCCGGTGGCAGGCGAGGGTGCGAGGGCTGGTCTGACCCAAACCTGAGCTCCTCGCCAGCTCGCAGCTGCCGCCTCCCCTGCAAAAGCTCTGGGAGCGGAGGGGCCGCCCCCGCTGGACCCCGCCCCCCCTTTGTCCCAGGGGCCCCACAGGTGACTCGGGCTGTCCTACAGAGCCGGGCCTCCCAACCTGGGCCACGTCAGGTGCCATGGCTTGTCCCCAGCACCCGCCTGTCCAGAGCTCAGGGTTTAGGATCTCAGACAAGTCAAAGCACTGCCCTAGGCCTTTACTTTGCCAACTGCCCGATGTGGATAACCACTCTCTCTGCGAACACACGAGGGAGCACTGCGAAAGGTTTCGGATCTCAGAGTAGGACCAGCACCCAATAAGCTCCACACAAAGGAACATGGCCCATCCCCCCTGCTGCTTCCAACAGCCCCCGCCCCGCACGCTCCCGAGAAGGGAGCCGAGCCATCGGCCCCAGGGGCAGGGCCTCAGGCCTCCAAGCCCTCGCGGGGCTCGTACCCCACAAGGGAAGGGCAGCCGTGGAAGAAAGGACTCACACCCAGACTCTCAGACCCCGGCTCGTCCCACTGGCCGGAGCCAGGCCTGGGTTCTCCGCACCAAGTGGAGGGGGTCCCTAGACCCCACCCTTTCCTCCCCTGAGCCTGAGCCTGACCTGTAGGGGCAGGCCACCCCGGCCGAGGCCGGGGCAGTTTCCGCGGGCGCCTGGGCCAGGTTGTCCTGCCGCCCGGGCACCAGGTAGCCCCAGCCATGCCGCTCCGAGTAGTGCAGAGGGAAGCCATCCCAGGTCATCGCCATGAGTTTTGGAGTGACCCGCATCTGCAGGCTGAGGAGGCTGGGGCCCGGGGTCCACGCAGGGTCATCTAGGCGGGGGCAGAGCTTCCGGTACCACCTACGCCCCGCCAGAGGAGAGCAGTGTTACCGTGGTGGGGGGAGGACAGCATGTGACAGCAAGCCAGGCTCCCTCTCCTGTGACCTCACCCACCCCCCCCTTCAAAGCCCCGAGGCTTTCTGGTGACCTCAGCCTATAGTCACAGTCTCCTCCCTCTGGGGGTACACCCATGACCCCCATGAAGTCCCCTAGAATAATTCAAGTATCTGAAAAGGAAGATCCTAGGTCAGGCCCACCGGACTAGTCAGAAGCCAGGGCCCACAGGCATGGCGCAGCACTGGGCTCCTTCCCAAGCCCCACTCCGTACAGGGTAACTGGCCAGAGGAGACAGCCGATCTGCCCCACCGCTGCTCCAGGGACACACCAGGGCCTTCACAGCCCCATCTCTCACATGCTGTTCACCACGGCCAACCCGAAGATGAGGCAAGTAAAGCACCCAACTTAAGGAGACCACCCTCTCAGGGTCCTGGAAGTGCCAAATCCGCACCCTGCTATTCACCCTGGCTGCCCCTATTTTCTCATCTCTGCCAGTCCGTGAGGCTCGAATTAAAAATCCCCTCCTCAAGGAAGCCCTCCCTCATTTCTCCAGGCAGAGTTAGGTATTGCCTCAACCCTGCTCACTCTTCCTTTTCATCGTGAATATAAAGACCAGCTGCACGGGGTGGTTTTCATGCCTAGCTCCTCCTAGGAAAGAAACTGTTCCTATCTGTGCCCCAAGCGGCCGCGGTAGGCCCAGCATACAGCAGGCGCTCAGTGCACTTGTACTGAATGAGACCAGTGAGCCGGGGGTCAAGTGAGCAAATGACTGGAAGACAGAACGAACGGCAGCAGGTCAGTAAGGGCCGCCCCCACACCACCCGGTGCTGGGGCCCAGGACAAGGGAGGACAAGGGTAGACTCTGGACATATGAGGGGCTGGGGCTCACCCAGGGTGTCCAGGAAGGTGCTGGGGCCGTTTGGGCAGGACCTCTGCGGTCCCCTTCAGGTGCTCCAAGCAGGCGCGAGCCATGCCATCTCGCTGCACCTCCTCCTCCTCACTGGGGGGGCCAGGGTCTGCATAGGGTGGGGCAGAACCATCAGGACCAGAAGGGTCTCTCCGGAAGTCCTGCCCACAGCCTACTCATCTCTGGAAGGCCGGAGCGACCCCTTCCAACGGCCCCCTGGGTCCCAGGACCTTCCCAGGGACCATCCCTGCCCCACCTCCCGCCCATGTTCCCCACCTTCCTGATCCTCGGGATCCCCAGGGGCCCCAGCCCCCTCGATGGGCAACTTGCTGGCTGCAGGTGGCTCCTTCCTCTTCACCTTCTTTGCCTTCTTCTGCTTAAACTCTTGCAGGTCCCACTCCAGGTCCCAGAGCCAGGGGTCTTCCTTGTACCTACAGAGCCGGGCCACCGGGGCGGGTAAGGCCACGCCTGCCCGTACTCACCGGGACCCTACCCCCCAAGGCCTGCCTGCCTCTGTCCGGAGCACAGCAGACAGGCGTCGTTGGCCAGCTCCATCAGCGACTTCTTCATCTCCCGCTGGAGCTCCGCGTACGTGCTCTGCGCCTCCGCCACGTACCGCTCCCAGTTGTGGTTGACGGGCAGGTAGGAGACCCCCATCTCCAGCATGCCAGCCAGAGTCACCGGGTGGGGGCACCTGGTGGGAGAGGGGGGCAAACACCGGGGTGGTCAAAAATGGCCACAGAAGGCAAGGCCTGGGCCCAAACCCTGAGCCGGTCTGGCGAGCCTCAACCCAACCACACAGGTGGCGGAGCTCGGGCATCGGACCAGGGGCTCGGGCCCTTCGGAGCCATGAGACGCTGGGTAAGGCGCTTCGCCTCTCTAAGCCTCAGTTCCTTTATCTACCAGGTGGCTACAGTATCATCCTGTCCTCAGGGGGAACGTGGCAGTTATAGGTAAAAGTGAAAACAGGTGTCATCTCCTGAGTCACGACTAAGTGCCAGGCACTGTGCTAGATCGCAGACAAACCTCACAACTGGGGTGCTCAAGTGTTCTTTGTGTATGCTTCAGACAAAAACACTGAGGCTCAGAGAAACCAAGTGACCTGCCCAACAGCAAATGAGTTAGGTAGGACAGTCAACACGAACCAGGTCTAGGTGACGCTTGTGACTGGCCACACCGTAAGAGTAACTCCCTAGCAAACAGGACCAAGATGGATGTGAAGCCCTGGGCTCAGGATCTGGGTACAGAGAGGGTGCTGAATCACCCAGGACCACGCACATGAGACTCCAGCACAGCCCTCCCTCCCCTCCAGGGCCTCCGTAGAAACCCAGAGTCCAGGACCCAGGTGGCCACCACTCCACTCAATGGCTCCATCCTTTCAACCCAGAAAGGCTAAGGTCCGCGGGCTGAGAAAGAGCCGGCACCACCTTTTGACAGAGGACCCAGGTACCAGGACCCTGCGGATCCCCTGGGGTTCCCATCGGGGCTCCCCCTCACCTCTCCAAGAAGAGCGGTAGCTGCTGCTGGAAGACCTCATAGGTGGCCCACACGTCCTGGGCACAGTACTGCATCAGGTCCTGGCACAGGCGACAGGAAGGCGCTGGGTGGGCAGCCATCCCACTGCCATCGCCGGGCCTTGGGGTCAGGTCGGGCAGCTATGCTCCCTGGGGTCAGCTAGGGGCTGCCACGGCCCAGCCCCCCAGAGCCCCTCTCCAGCACTGTACCTGGAAGTTCTCACGGATGTCCTTCATGCTACCCTTGACAAACAGTTCTCGAGGCTCCTTCTCTAAGGGAGGCCCCCCCACATAGAGGCCGTGCACGTCTGCCAGATTATTGACACTGCTGATGTCCAGCCAGTCCCAGGATGAGATCTGGGGGCCACAGCAAGGGATCCAGATCAGCTCGGCCTCGGGACAGGCAGGCTGGTTAAGGCAGTCCCAAGCGCCCCACTCCTCCAGCCTCCCGCAGTGAGCTCTCACCACTGGGCCATTGGCTTTGTGTGGGGACTTCTGGCCTCGCTGCGTGGGGTGCCGGGCCTTGCGCTTGCCCTGCTTGGCTGCCATCCACAGACTGCGCTGGAAGCCGCTGAGCCCTGAGATGGCCATGTGCATGCTCATGGTGTCCAGGAAGCGCATGCGGGAGCCCTGAAGAGGAGAGAGGCTGGAGCTGAGGCCACTCGGCACTGCTTTAGGGGGTGTCACCCCCCCCAGCCCCACCTCAGCCTCCTCTCATCACACGGCCATCCAACACTAAAGACTCAGGCTTGCTCACGCTTAGCCCTCCGGCCGTGACAGGCTCACCCTCCCACATCCTAGCCACCCTCGAAGGGACAGGCCCGGCTCAGTCCCAACACACAAGTCCTTCCCAGCATCCAGCAACAGCTCCGAGGGCTGCCTTGGGAACAAAGGGGCCAGATCAAGGCCTTCTGAGCTCCCGGGCTCGGCCTCCACCCCAGCCCTGCCGCTCAAGCTCTGTAGCCCTGTTCAGGTCAACAAGGCTGCCCTCCTCTGGCCTGCCTTTCTGCTGGGGTGGTTATGAGGATGCACTGTTCAAACCTCCCCAGCAATCCTGCCAGGTGGCTTCTGCTAGCTCCCCCTTTTTGCAAATAAGGACCTGAGGCTCAGGGACGTGAAGGTGCTTACGCTGCTTGTCTCTGGCTGAGGCAGGATGTGAGCCCAGGCTGTGCGGCTCAAAGCCTCCACAGACCCACGCTAAGCTCTAAAACTGCACACGGAGAGAAGGGGTAGGAGTACTCCTTGACAACTCAGGTCCTGTACCAGGCAAGTCCTGGGGAATGAACAGCTGGGCACAGGGACCAGGGGCGGGGCAGGACCGGTCAACAGGGGGGCCCCCCGCAGCTGCTACAAAGACGAGGGCGACGCTGACCGGGAAAAGCAATGCCTTCCCTAGCCCCTGGGATCGGCTCTTAGGCCACCCCCTGCCAGAAGCCACACTGGCCCCAGGAACCTTACCTGGATCAGGTACTGCTCCCTGATATGGGCTCGATCAAAGCAAACGTTGTGCCCCACCACCAACTGCTCCCGCCAACCGCGCCGGGTGGGGCCGCCGGCAGCGGCAGGGACCTCCAGAGGAATGAGGTCAGCCGGCGACAGCTGGCTGGTCCAAGAGTAACGCTCTTCCACCAGCCGCCGGCTGCACCAAGAATACCTGAGGGAGGCGAGAGGCAGCCGGGCTCGGCACAGAGGCAGCACACTTCCGCTCCGCAACACCCACCGCACGCCTACCGCCGCGAGCCGGCTCCCGCGCTAGCAGCTGGGACCGAGCAAGACCTGGGGGTGCTCCCGACCCTCACAGAGCCGGAGAGCGGGTGGGCCCCGTGTGAGGGAGGGCACAAAAGCGCCTTTACTTTTCCCTTCCACAGGTTAAAGTGGGAGCTAAACGCCACGGCGCTGGGTGTCCTACCCGGGCACCCGGCCGGGACCCCGCCAAGGTGTCTGCTGGGTCCAGCGTTCAGTGTGGGCTGTTTACGGGCACTGTCTACCCCTCGGGTCTATAAGCACCAAACAGCAGGTGTTCAAAACGCTAGTAAGGGAGACAGACAATTACAACCGAATCCAAAGTGGAAAGTTTTCTTTTTCTGGTTGAAAGTGGCAAAAAAAAGAAAAGAAAAAGACAAATGCTGCACATGTACAGGATGAATCATCGAACGGCTGGAAAGATTCTGAAGGACAAAGAGCACATCACGCACCTTGGAACAGGTGCTGGGCCTCTCTGAGCCGCCCCGGGAGAGCCGAGGGTAAGCGCGGGCCTGGAGGGGCCGGCCACCCACGGGCTGGGGCAGGCCGGGAGGGCAGAGGAAGAGCGCTGCCTGCAGGCGCCTAACCCCGACTCCAGAAAAAGGCTGAAGGGTGCTCAAGATCCATGAGGATGAGTGTGGGGAAATGGCCACTGAGGAAAAGCCCACAGTGAACCGCAGACGACGCCAAAGGGTAAGAGCCACTCAGCATCAGGGGGAGTGACGAGGCCGCATGTGGCCGCCGCAGCTGGGCAGGAGCTTCCGGGCAACCCTGCGGGGGGGGGGGGGGGGCATTTGCCTCCAGAGTTTCAACAAACACAACAGTGGTTTCCACAGGGGAGGGGGCTCCCGGCAGAAAACAGTTCCTCGTTTGAAACCTGCTAACGTCTAACTCACACTCCAAATGATGGCGACACACTCAGGGGCTCAGGCTGCAACCGCCTCCCCCTCCAGAGCCCTTACAAACAACACCAAAGAAGAGGCTGGAAAATGTCAAACGTTTGAGGCTATGGTGATGGCAGGAACTGCAGGTGCAGTAAGAAGGCCAGACTGGTGTCAAGATCCAGGTCTGTAGCTGCACAGAACCGTCTTACTACACGTTTGTGATAAACAAGCCAACATGCAAACACGCTTGGTACGTTCAAGAAGGTTCAGGCCAATGCCATCAACTCTCTACACCTGTCCCGTGAATCTCAGACAAACGCTGGCACCTGTGTGACGTCCCCCCCTAGTGTGACGACCACAGTCCTCAGCCACAGCCTTTGGGAAGCCGCTCTGTGGGATGTCTAAGCTGCACCCCCCGCCCCCCCACCCCTGCTCCGAAATTTCAGGCTGGCCTGGAACGTGAGGTTGCACAGCCACAGGACTGCTCGGAGGGCCCCATCCGGTACCCCCGCACCCACCCCCCACCCCCACCCCGGTCAGGCTCCCGGGAGGAAGGCCCTCGGGGGAGCCCAGGCCTCGGCAGGGACTCCTGGGCAGTGCTGCCAGGACCAGTGGCAGGAACGGAATGAGGATGAGAGGATGGGGAGGACAGGGGAGGGGGGAGGAGGAGGGAGAAAAGGGGACTGAGGTAAAATGGCCAAAAATGACTGAGAGATCAAAAAGCAAGTCTTTCTTGTCACTCGCTTCCTAATTTCCCTTCGGCCACCACAGCCTGCTGTCTCTTCTCAGTGGGGGGCGGGACTCCCTCTATTCGGACCATCCAGTCACATAGTAAGCACTGAGGTTCTCAACTGGAACTAAATCAATGCGGAATCTGGTTGTGCTCTTGTCAGCCATTAATGCCTACCTTATCTATTTAGCCATGTTTTCACCATTTTCAACTGCATATTTAACATTTCGCAGCTTTCTTTACAAAGATGTAGCTTCCAATAGGAATAAAGAAACTGCTAACTTTTGTGCTGGCCATGCCTGAAAGCATTAGGGTTGTAAATAGTATTTTAATCCTGGAATGAAGAATAAAAAAGGGGAGAAACAGGACTGCCATCATTGTTTGAAAAAGAAACGTGGGTAGCACTTAGAAAGTTACTTAAAAAGGAGAGAGAGAGATTTGGATATACCTTTTGGGGACCAAAATGCCTGTTTGGGAGGCTGGGGGCAGGAAGCAATGTCTCTCAACCTGCGACCTCGGGGTGGGAGTGTGTGTGGCGACGTGGCAGGGATATTGGGTCTGGCATTTAAGGGAGTGGCTGGGGACGCTAAATGTCTTGTACCGTCTGGGACAGTCCCGCAAAAGGGAGATTTCTCCTGCCCACGATAACCAATAGTGTCCCCAAATAGAAACACTGTTCAAATGTCTTGGACTAACTTCTCAGGAAGCTATCAGGGGAGGGGGAAAGGCACCGAATCAAGGTGGCCTCAAGTGGTCTCCCCTAGGATCCCCAGTACAAGCTACTGTTGTTCTCCACATAGCCCCTATCACCACCTGCCATTTGCTTGGGTGTTTGTTTACTGCCTGGATCTTCCCACCAGAAAGTAAGCTCTGTGAAAGCTGGGGTCAAGCCTACTTTAGTTCACCACGGAATCCGCAGTCCCTAGAAAAGCACCCGCAAGGCACGTAGTGGGAGCTCAGTAAATGTTCACCGACCCGAACTATTAAGCTGGGCTCCCCACCTGTGCTAAGTCCCCTGAGCCCGGCCCCTACTTACCAGGCCGAGGGGGATATGGCCACCGCCAATGTGGGGCAAGTTCCCTCTGCCAAGCAGACCTCCACGTCGAACACCAGGGCCCGCTCCTCGGGGATGGCCACGGGTACGGCCTCCCCCGCGGGGCCGTACCGGGTCCAGCCCTCCGCCCAGGCCCAGCTCGGGGGCCGGGGGGGCAGCTGGGCCTGCAATAACGAGTTGGCCGCCTCCAGGTAGGGCAGGCTCTGCTTCTGGGCCAGGAGGCGGAAGTGCTGGTCCAGGCTGCCCCCGTAGAGGGGCGGCAGGCGCAGCTCCACGTCCGGCAAGGGCGTGGTCGGCTGCCCCCAGAGCCCGTGCTCCTGTAGGTGCTCGACGCTGCGGCGCACCGCGGCCTCGCCGGGCGTCTCCGCGCCGCGCCCGAAGATTTGCTCGTGAAGCCCTCTCGAGAGCATCTGGATGTGCAACGGGCTGTACCGCTGCTGCCCGCCCTCCGAGGATGGCACTTGCGGCGGCGGCGGCGGCGGCTGCCCGTCGCTGGGGACGGGGGCGGGGCCGGAGCTGGAGACCCAGCGCCCCGGAGCTGGAGCTGGAACTGGCCCTGGCCCGACGGTGGTGGTGGCGCCGGCCACCCTCTTCCAGAGCAGGCGGCTCATGGTTGGTGCAGGGAGCCCCCCGCTGGGAGTCAGGACACCTGGCTTTGGGCTCCAGCTTGGCTGCTTTTACTGGCCGAAAGACGTGGAGGGAGACACGTCCTGTCTCTGCTTTCCAGTCAGTGAAATGGGTCTGACCATGCCTGCCTTCCACCCACAAATCCTGAAGGAGACAGACGATATCAAGCGTTATTTCTTAGATGTGCGTTACGTGTTCCGTGACGAGCCGTCACTCCTCGAGCACTTACTGCGTCCCAGGCAGCGTGCCAGGAGCTTTTAGGGACATTTTCTCAGTGAAGCCCCAAACCACCACTGGAATTGCCAATACCCCTCCTGAGGACACTGAGGTTCAAGCAGGTGCATCAGTGAACTTGGGGGAAGAGGAGGCAGTGGTTAAGAGCGACGGTCCCGGAGGAGGACGCGGCGGGTTTGAATCCCGGCTCTGGCTGTTAGGAGATGCGTGACCTTGGGCGAGCTCCCTAAGGCCCCAATCGCCTGCTCCGTAAAATGGGGTTACGGATTCTGTCACACGGGACCGCTGTTCGGGTGACTCAGGGCGAACAAGTCGCGAGACCCGACCCTCGGCAAACGCTCGCCAAATGGTGGCTGCCAGCACCGCGACCGGCGCGGCCCGAGGGCCTCGCGCCGCCAGGTGCCAGCCCCCGG